AAAATTCCTCCTTCCTCTTCCATGCATTTTGGTCTCACTAGAGGAATCAAGGTTGCCCTCAAATTCTTCTTCATACGGTGGTGTCCCAATGACGGTCCTTTGGTGATAGTGTGGGTGTTTTCCTTGGTTCAATTGATAATCTTGTTTTTTAGGAGTTTTTGTTTGGTTGACGGTTTCATGACGTGGGGGTGTATGGTGTGTGGATTGGTTGTTTATGGGCTGTGATTGGGTTAATTTGGCTATATCATTGGACATGTTAGCCATCATCTTCATCATGATGTCAATGTTTTGCTTAATGTCATCAACTTCCCCTTGTATCCTCATGTTGGCAAGTTCCCATGGTAGAGGAGGTGAAGAACGGCTACTTCTATTTTTCATTTGGGTGTAGGAGGGGTTAGGCTAGTGTTTATGGTGAAATAAGTGTGAAAAAAAGTGTTTTGGGGCAAAATGGCAAAACCGTAATTTTATGAACAATGCCCTAGTCAAAATAGTACTCACCAGACGGTGGTGGAGCTTTTATGGTGATGGATAATGGTGGTGGAAGCAATCGGGTTGGGTTACGTATTTGGGCTTAAGTGTTTAATGGGTTTTGTGTTAGTGTTTAATTTGGGCTAAGGGTGTTTTGGTTAATGAGTGTGGTATAAGTGAGGGTAAAAAGGTCAAAGGTATTTAGGTAATAGTGGTGTAGTTTGATTCTATTTGTGGGAAAAGTAATTATGCTAATAAGGGATAGAAATGAATCAGGGAAAATAATCTTATTTTTTGTAAAAGTGATTTTACTAAAAATAGTGGGACAAGGAAGTGTATAGTGGGGAGTGTTTCTTTTGTTTTAGTAAAAGAGTTTTTTCTCAAATTGGTGGAAAAGGATGGCTTTGGGAAAAAGGTTATTTCCAAAAATGGGATGGAGTGTTTAGGGTTTTATGATGGCTAAAATTGGCATGAAGTTTTTAAATTGAATAGACAAAAATATGATGTAGTGTTTAGGGTTTTGTGATGGCTAAAAATGGCATGGAGTGTTTAAATCAAATAGACAGAAATGGGATGGAGTGTTTAGGGTTTTGTGATGGTTAAAAGTGGCATGGAGTGTTTAAATCAAATAGACAAAAATGGGATGGAGTGTTTAGGGTTTTGTGATGGTTAAAAATGACATGGAGTGTTTATATTAAATGGATAAAAATGGGATTAAGTGTTTAGGGTTTTGTGATGGTGGGTTGATTTGTTCAATAGATAAAAGAGTGGTGGGTGTAAGGTGAGTTTGAAATGGTTGCAAAGAAAAGGTGGACGGTTTTAGCAAAGGGAAAATCCGACCAAGGTGATGGAAATTCCGACCAAAATCCTTTCCTCCCAACAACAATAACAACACAACTCAAAACTTCTTCAATAACAAATCAACTTCAACACCTCAAGTTCAGTCAACTCCAAAGCTTCTAAGCTCCGCAAAACTCTACAAACAACTACCATTCACATACACAACCTAAAGCTCTGATACCAAATGATCCAAAACCACCATGAAAACTCAAAGAAACATCACAACATCACATACATAGAATTGGCCAAGCTAGGCTCTTCACAACCTTCATTCACGTTTCAACTATCCAGGGTATTTCAACTCCAAAATCATGCAAACACAACACAAAACACATACAACCAAATTTGAACAACACTAACCACTACTGGAAATTCGGCCAAGGTAAGATGAAACACAAGAACACTTACTTGAATAAAAAAGGGATAGAGACAAGAAGAGATCTTCAAGCATAAAGGATTTCTCCACCAACTTGAAGTTGAATCACCACCAAATCCTCTGTCAAGACTTGGATAAAGATTTCAAGACAAAAGGAAAGTCATTCCTCTCAAGTGTTTAATTTTTAATATCATTATTCAACCTTAAAAAATGAGAGAGGGTTTGCTTTTATAGTAGCATTACAAGGATAATTAACTACTTAAGTAAAATAAATACGCCACTTAGGATAATTAACTAAATATAACAATACTTAATTAAATCCTACTAATAAGAGTGCACGAGTTTGGACCTTGTAACTCATTGAAGGGGCCCCAAAATGAAATAGCATAGGAATGCTCTTTGGGCTTGGATAATGGGCTGTTTTGGACCTCTTAAATGCTTGGGCCTTTTCTTTGTTGGACTTGGACTTCACTTGAAGAATTTGTGCTTGAATGGGCTTGGGCCGAAATGTCTCCTTTATGCACATGGGCTGAGTTGTTTCCTTGCGTAATTTGGGCTAATTCCTCTCCTTGAGCTTGGGCCGAATTTGACTTGCCTTCTTAGACAACTTGGGCTAGCTTTCTTCCTTGGGCTTGGGCTGAATTACAATTCTTGTAATCCACATGCAATGTACCAAGTGATTTAGGACTTGGATTGGCTAATTTTGATTCCATCGAATTTGCAAGTATGTTATGACTTGTAATTCTATTTCCACTCAAGTTCACAAGTGTTTTAGGACTTATAAAAAGATCCTCTCAAACAGCAAAAACTGCAAGTTACCCCCACCCCCACTGACTTTGAAATTAGCCATTAGACTCCTTATAGTCAATTTTTTATGTCAAAGTTAACTGAGGAAAGACTAAAATAGACTTTTAGATTCAGATACAAGTTTGTAAAATGAAATATTTCTATTCAAATAAAAAATATTTTAGAATTTTTATTTATTTATTTAAGTTTGATATTATATATATTTTTAAATTTTTGAAGAATCTCCAGCCATCTCAAATAACTGGAATTGTCGAAAAGGAGGATCTTGAGCAAGGGTGGAATGAGGGGGTGGCTCCCCATGGCTATAGCCCGGGTGGGTTTTGAAAAAAAATGAGATTTATAATATTTTTAGATTTTATAAGTAAATTAAGAGATAATATATATATTATCTCTGAATTCTCTTATTTTTAACACTTTTGGTTAGAATTCATTCAATACCCCCTTTTTTTTTCTCTTTTCTTTTCACACCCTTCTTTCTCTATTTCTTAAATTCTTGATTAAAAATATATTTGTTTCATTTCTCCCCAAGATTATAATAAATTCAATTTATCATATGTATATTTTTCTTCATTTTTAAAATAAAATATACTTTTAAATGACAAAACTCAATACATTAAATATGTAAATCTTTACCAACACAATATTCTCAAATTAGCAAGATCAGTATATTTTTTAATGAATTGTTTTTTCAACCCTCCCAAAAATTAATTCTTGTTTTCACCCTTGAACCTCAAGTCACCACCAAAAATGGCGATTTGAGATCGCAAAATGGCAATCTTTTAGATTTCAGTTTGTAATCTAATATTGCTGCCACAATATGGGATTCCAAATCCTAATGGAACATGGACAGTAGGGGGTAAGTTGTTATTTCTAATACCTAAGGGGGGACTATTACTTAATGAAACCTCCAGCGGAAATTTCATTAAACCATTTTTTTATTTTAATTTCTTATATATTTTTGTTTATGAAAATAAAAATTTGAAAGAAATATAAGTAAATAATTAACAAATTGTTTTAATTTCTTTATGCACAATTTTTTTTAAGAAACAATAAATCCTTTTATAAAATTACATGGTTTTAATGGTCAAATTATCAAAAATATGTGGGCATATATGTAATTTTAGTAGTGGAGCCATTATCAAGGGCATTTCGATCTTTTTGTTAGCCAACCATTGCCCTCCATCTAAAATAATGGTTAATACTACGACAGGGGGTTTAAGTGGCTAATCCCAAGTTGGTGGGGGTACATTAGTTTTTACTATATCGTTCAATGCACGCATCATTATTTTATCAACACAACCCAATCTCATGTCCTCTCTCTCACAATTTCGATGTAATCTCATAAACTCTTTCTCATAACCCCAATATAACAACTCGTAATTGTTAGTTTGCAATTGATTAAGTGAGAAAATTCATTAGAAACCAATTGCGAGTTGCTATATTGGGGTTGTGAAAAAATGTTTGTGAGATTGTGTTGTAAATATAATATTATCCTTATTTTATTTATATATCAATGTCACGTTTGATGACACATCACTTAGAGCATTTTCAATGGTGCTCTTTATTTTAAAAAACATATTCATTAATTTCTAAATACAAAGAACAATTTTTTTATTCAAATCTAATAGATTATTTAAATTTAATGAATATGCTCTTTATTTTCAAGAAAGATACTTAATATGAGAGATAATTAATAAGTAAAATGTATAAAAACTTGTAGTTTATTAATTAAAATTATGATAGGGAATGAAATTTGACTCTCTAAATGTAGAGATTTAAATTCATTCTTTAATTTATATTTAAATGATAAAGAGTCTGCCAAACTTTTGTTTTTATGGATAAACTCTTTATAATAAAGAGTTTGGGTTATATAAAGAGTCATTTGAAGATATTCTTAGGATATAGAATTTGGGATAAGTGTTGGGAAAATTAGTATTATTGATTTAACTGATGAAAAACCTTTAACTTTTTCTTAGGAGAGGATCAAAATAAAAATATTATATTAAGATTTTGAAGAGGCAATTCGTTAATAAATATGAAATACAGTACAATTGAAGTGAAATAACCAATGAACATGGTTAATTTGGAAATAAGTTAAATATATTTATAAATTAATATAGTAAAATGAAGTTTAATATAAAATGGGGCTTACTAATAAATTTGTGGGGTTTAAGAACACATTACTCATATACAAAAGCAATATTTAGATGGGCCAATATTACATAAGCAATATTTAGATGGGCTGAACCGTTACAAATTTCATTGGCCCAACCCAAAATATATAAGGGCTAGTGGACTACAACCAGACCCATGCAGGAAACTCTAACATGTAAATAAATACAAACATATGGGGCAATCTAGTCAAATCAAGTAACTTTTAAAGTTGTAGATCTACACCGCACGATCCAACACCCCGAATACCAACCGTCCGATATATAACCCAGCGAGCGGCTCCCAAAAATTCAAATCTCTTCCCCAGCCCGCTCTCATTTTCAGATTTCATAACACACAGGCAGAGTTAGAAAGAGTTTCGAAGTTGATCTAGTAAAAGGAAACACCATAGGCGCGTGCGATTCACCTTCTAATCCTCGATTCAAAATGTCCGGTCGCCACGAGAAGGAGAAAGGCGTGAATGTGCAAGTCCTTCTGCGTTGCAGGTACAGTGATGATTGTGTGTGTGTGTTTATTTCTTTCTTCATTTGCGAAATATTGAAACGACTGGTTTTGTTTGTGTCGTTTTGAGTGGTTTTCAGGCCGTTTAGTGAGGACGAGCTAAGAAACAACGCGCCGCAAGTCGTGACTTGTAATGACTACCAGAGAGAGGTCTCCGTTTCGCAGAGTATCGCCGGGAAGCATATCGATAGGGTTTTCACTTTTGATAAGGTACTTTTCAGAAAAAAATTATGGAACTTTTTTTTGTAGAAAATATGGTTAATAAATTTGCGATTTGAAATCTTAAAATGTGTTTATTAGTTCAATTTTCTATTTTATTGTGGAGAGTTTAGTAAATTAGAGTGATTTCCTTGTATTGTTACTATAGTATTTTGATTTTGCCAAATTTAGAAAGGGCCAGGTTATGAGATGCTTTGAAAACATTGTAAAACTTACTAAATAGAAACTTAAAGTTCTACATCGATGTCATAACCATTTGCTTTCAAATAAATGTTTTGAAACGGAAGCATGTGCATATTTGAAAACATTGGTGCATTTTGATTTATGTTGCAGTTAAAATCGTACTTTAATTAAATACCCTTTTCTTTGTGGAATATGATTATTATGTGGAATATGATTATTATGCATATTATAGCACCAAAATTTGGACTTAAACTTGGCAGATTAATATGTGTATTACAGTATTAGTGTCTGCTGCAACCTGATTGATTCGTGTAACTTTATATTGACAATCAAACTTCAAAGGGTTGTGTTAATGATACATGTAGGTTTTTGGTCCTTCAGCTCAGCAAAAAGATTTATATGAACAAGCGATGGTTCCTATTGTGAATGAAGTTTTGGAAGGTTTTAACTGTACCATTTTTGCTTATGGTCAAACTGGTACAGGGAAAACATTCACGATGGAGGGTGAATGCAAAAGGTCAAAGGTATTATACATGCAACTTGTGATTATATTATTGTGATTTATCTTTTCTGTATTTTTTCAATGAATCATATTGTCATATGGAATGAGTCAGAGCGGGCCCAATGGAGAATTGCCTGCAGAAGCAGGAGTCATACCTAGAGCTGTTAAGCAGATTTTTGATACACTTGAGAGCCAGAATGCAGAGTATAGTGTGAAAGTTACTTTCTTAGAATTGTACAATGAGGAGATCACTGATCTACTTGCCCCGGAGGAAATTGCAAGAGTTCCTTTGGAGGAGAAACAAAAAAAGCAGTTGCCTCTTATGGAGGACGGGAAAGGTGGAGTACTTGTAAGAGGTTTGGAGGAGGAAATTGTTACAAGTGCAAGTGAAATTTTCACTCTACTGGAACGGGGATCTGCAAAACGCAGAACTGCTGAAACTTTGTTAAATAAACAATCAAGGTAACCTCTTTGGCTTCCGTCCTGTGCAGAATTAAAGTCAAGTTTCCTTCTTTAATTAAGGATCTGTCTTGTATTACAGTCGGTCGCATTCTCTGTTTTGCATCACGATACACATAAAGGAAGCTACCCCTGAGGGTGAAGAACTAATTAAATGTGGCAAACTGAATTTGGTTGATTTAGCTGGCTCAGAAAATATATCTCGTTCTGGTGCTAGAGAGGTATACGGAACTTAGCTTTATTGTCTGACTTTATTTGGGGTTTTGGTTTCAGTGTAGGAAGGTCACAGTTGAAATTTAAGCTGAAATTACTGATACATGGTATATTATTATTAATCAGGGTCGTGCAAGAGAGGCTGGTGAAATTAACAAAAGTTTACTTACTTTAGGGCGAGTCATTAATGCTCTTGTGGAGCATCTTGGCCATATCCCATACAGGTTTGAACTGCTTTCTTGGGCTGTTCAGGTGTAGCCGATAATTTTATTCCTACTGAATTCAAGTATATGATAAATTGTGATGTAGGGATAGCAAGCTTACTCGGTTACTTCGTGATTCACTCGGGGGAAGAACCAAGACATGCATTATAGCTACAGTTTCTCCTGCAGTTCATTGTCTGGAAGAGACCTTAAGTACACTGGATTATGCCCACAGGGCAAAGAATATTAAAAATAAGCCCGAGGTTTGTTCTTGTTATACATAGTTGTTTACTTGGTTTCACGTGGTTTCATAAAGTGTTCCTCTTATAAACAAAACAAGGTTCTTGGGAATTAACACCAGGAAGTCACACATTAGATGACCTTTTTGGCAGATTTAAAAGTCTTATTTGCTTTCACATAAATGTTGCTATCTATCAATGCCTTAGCCAATCTGTTTGATTTGTTGCTATCTATCTATGCCTTAGCCAATCCTTTGATTTGTTGCTATCTATCTATGCCTTAGCCAATCCTTTGATTTGTTGCTATCTATCTATGCCTTAGCCAATCCTTTGATTTGTTGCTATCTATCTATGCCTTATCCAATCCGTTTGATTTGTTGGCTTGTTGCTACCTATCTATCCCTTAGCCAATCTGTTTGATTTGTTGCTATCATATGTTGCTTTGTATATTAAAGGTGACACTTTTTTTCATATATGGTAAAACTATCGGCAATTTGTTGGAAGCATTGTCTCCAGGAGTTCATCCTTTGTTGTTTGTTGCTTGTAGATTAACCAAAAAATGATGAAATCAACTCTTATAAAGGACCTCTATGGTGAAATTGATCGACTTAAAGCTGGTGAGATGCTGAAGTTTTGCAATGATTTGTGAACAAAATTTATGCAAACAAGGAACTGTACTATGTACATTATGATTGTCATTTTACTTGACTGTGTTTTAACTTTGTCTTCAGAGGTTTATGCTGCCCGTGAGAAAAATGGCGTCTATATCCCAAAGGAGCGGTACTATCAGGAGGAGAGTGAAAGGAAGGTAGTGCAAGATTCCCATCATTTGTTTCCTCTCCCATATGCTTGGGCAGCAAGCTTAAAGTATTGAATGTCTATTATTGACCGACTGTTAAATACTTGTTTACCAAGTTCTCTCTTTTTTTTTTTTAATCTTATTATTATTGGACACTAATGTACCCACATCAATCTGTGTTTTCTTCTCATGTGTTCAGGCTATGGCTGATCAGATTGAACAAATGGGGGTTCAGTTAGAAAACCATCAGAAGGTTAGTTTGATCATGTAGTTTCATTAATGGCTGTTGCCCCAAATGGTATGCTAATTTCTTTGTATGATATATAAATTATTTATTATCTTCTTGGTACTTTGTTAACAGCAACTTGAAGCATTGCAAGATAAATATGTTTCCCAGGTTCGACAGTGCTCTGATTTGAGCAGCAAACTTGAACTGACTGAGGTGAGTTTACTTAGTACTTTGCTGTTTATTGTTTTGAATTTATGCCCAGATTCATATGAATAAGGGAAATTTATGCAGAAAAACTTGAATCAAACCAGTAAATTGCTTGCCAACACTGAGGAAGAACTGAAGAAGTGTTGGTATGCTCTAAAGGAGAAGGATTTTGTTATTTCTGAACAGAGAAAAGCAGGTATGCATGAATCCTGTCTTCTTCACTATTTGCTGATAATTTTTGTATTAATTTTGTTTTGATCAATGAAACAGAAAATGCTCTGGCTCATCAAGCAAGTGTTTTACGGTCTGACTTACAGAAAGCTCTTCAGGATAACACATCTTTGTTCCAAAAAATTGGTATATAGTTAGTTTATGATTCACTTACATGCTGTAAATTTTCTTGGTCAAAAACTTAATTTCTTACTTTGAATGTATTTGTACAGGAAGAGAAGATAAACTTAATGCTGATAACAGATCAGTTGTTATCAATTTTCAACAGGAGCTTGCTCAACAAATTGGCTCTCTTTGCAGCATGGTGGACTCATCAATGTCTCAACAAAATGAACACCTTAGGCATGTTGAGGATCTCTGCCGTTCCTTTTTAGACATACACGATAAGGTAGTCTTATATTACTATTTTCCTGGGTAGCTGTTTCAATTTACTTTGTTACTGCACAGTAAAGATTCGTTCATCTTTAACTTGGTGATCAACTTTCCCTTCTTATAAATTGTACATTAGGTGGTTATTGATATGAAGAAGAAAGTAACAGCTTCAAGGGCTTTGTATATTTCCCACATGGAGGCAGTGCAAAATGTTGTCCGTCTGCACAAAGCAAGCTCAAATGCCTGTTTAGATGAAATTTCAGCTCTGGCTTCTTCTAATGCACAGTCTATTGAAGATGTATGTGGCAATGGTTTGAGTTAGCTGGCATTATAGTTCCAAATTCTTCTTTTATTTTCTTGTTAAATCTTTCAGCATTGTCAATTTTATCATGATTTGGTTCTTTAAATGCAATATTTGTTTTTTACTCAGTTCCTAGCAGCAGAAGCTAAAGAAGCAGCTTCAATATATGATAATCTTCAAACTACACTATCAACTCAACAAGGAGAAATGGCTCTCTTTGCAAGGGAACTGCGTCAGGTGTGTGCATCAATCCTTAACTCGTTTTTGTTCTGTTATTTTAGTGGGAATGTTTTATCATCTGAGCATTTTGGGTCTCCATAATATCAGCTTTTTTAATTGCTTAATTGCTTAAATGTTTTATCTTTTGAGAATCATCTTTACTTGTTCTAAATAAGAGAATATATGGGACCCATTTGATATTGTTGACTGTTATTACATTGATTATTAAGAATATAATTTTATACGTAATTTTATTGTCTTCTCCGTTTTTACTTCATCTGAAATAACTACATCTATAATTTCTACTTATTTATTTGTTTATTGTTCCTTTTTATAATTCAACAGAGGTTCCTTGCAACTGTTGAGAAAACAAAGGACATTTCTGAGTACACTAATGGATTTATCCAGAACCTTTTAGAAGAGTCGAAAAGGTTAGAAAATTATGCAGTGAAAGCTGACGAAATTCAAATGAAGAGCATTGCAGATTTTCAGAAGGCTTATGAGGTAATATATTCATATTTATATGCAGATAGACATTATGTTGAAGTGTCTGACTTGTCCAGAATATCCTCTGCAGGAGCAGTCAAAGTCGGATGCTGAAAAGCTTATTGCTGATATGACTAATTTAGTTTCAGATCACATTCGTCGTCAAAAGGACTTGGTTCGTTGATGATTTTCTTTTCTTTTCTTTTTCCCCTTATTATTTGTAGTAAAATATTTTTGAGGATGAACTGATTGTGGAGGTGACAGGTGGACGCAAGGCTTGTTGATCTTAGAGAAAGTGCCGCTGCAAACAAGACATTTTTAGATGGTCGCGTTACATCGATGGAGGGTATCACGACAGATGCTAAACGAAAATGGCAGGCATTTTCTATGCAAGCAGAAAATGATGCCAAAGATGGTGCTGATAATGCTTCTGCCAAACATTGTCGTATGGAGTTACTTCTACAGGAATGGTAAGTTCATTCCATCACTGTTACTCTGGATCATTTTCTAAATTGCATTATAACATTTCTTTTTTCTTTGGTTGCTTCAGTGTAAGCACTGGTGAATCAGCCTTTAAGCATTGGCAAAGGACCCGTGAAGTGGTGAATGAGATGGGGAGTAAACATGTTTCTGCATTAGTTTCACTTACCAGGTCAGTGGTCAACCGGCTGTGTTGATTCCCTCTTTAGTAAAAAAAAGAGTTAATAAAGCCTTTTTAGTGTAGACTTCAATTTCCCTGTTGGATTTTAGAATATTATGCCTCCTATTTATTTTCATCAACTGTTGCTGCCTGGAATTAGTGGATACAACTTATAAGTAGGAAAAACAACCTCCAGCTTATTGAAGCCAGCATTATTTTGTTTTTAAATGCGATAACTGTGATTTTCTCATAACTAGTGCACTAGATTAATTATCTAATTGTTAATTACAGGAATGCTTCTGATAGTAACGAGCAGAATGATATTGAGGTTGACACAGCTCGGGTGGCCGCAGAGCAAGATGTGGCTGAAAACAGTGAAGAAGTCCTCCAGCAAATTGATTGTGAGTTTTATGTTGCTTGAGTTCATCAATTCAAAATCCTGTTTTGAGTACCTTCAAATTTTTGGGAGTATCTGAAAATCTTTTTGGTAAATAGATGGTAATTTACACATAAAAGGTAATGTTGAGTTAATTATTAAATAAAATTCTACGATGAAGCAGGCTTGCTTTGAGATTTCTGAATGGCTTTCTTTATTCAGTAAATTTTCCAGGGAGATTAGTTTTCTTTGTATCTATTGAATGTCATCCATCGACAGCCAGCAATGTGATCGTTTGGATGTGAAACTTGCTACAGGTACATCACAGCAGGAGCAGACTTCAATATCTGGAATTTTAGATGGTGTAAAGGCTCATGAGAAAACGCTTGAACTATTCCGGGGGAGTCACTCAGGGCAAGCTATATCCATTAATGAGAAGGCACAAGAAACCTTCCAGCAGCGATATATGGTAGGCTATTTAACTTTTAACCTAAGTAGGTGGCTAATTTTGTAGTTTCTCACAAGTGGCAACCTTATAATAACACTTCCGGTCTCTCCATTCCAACAAAGAAAATGAAAGATTAACAGCAAAATATATAAAAAAAACTGTTTGATAACTATGCTCTCTTTGCACTTAACAGTTATGCGATTTTGAAAGACATACTACATGGTTAACCTCTATGTTCCTATTAATATGTTTTCTAGCTTTGTAACTTTTGCAGCCACATGTCTTATGCATAAAGATGATATTTGAGTGAAAAGTGTTTCTGCATTAAGATTATTTATGTAGTCTTTGCTGAAACTCTTGATTATTGCAGGATTATGACCCTACTGGCACAACTCCAACGAGGTGTGAATCAGAGGCTCCTAGTAAGGGGACTATTGACTCACTTAGAGCAATGCCAATGGAGTCTTTAATTGAGGAGTTTCGAGAAAACAATTCATACGAATCATTTGAAGTGAAAGAATTAAAACCGTCACTCATACCACGTTCGCCGCTCACCCAAATCAACTAAGAGCAGCTGAGGTCTCATTTATTTTTTTTGTGAGTTGGAAATTAAATTTGTATCTGTATCATTAGTGTAAAACTGTTATTAATAGCTTCATTTGATGATTGCTAGGATACAGAAAGGTGGTGGTGGTGGTGGGGGGTATATTGCTAGTTTGTAGAAGGGTGTAGTAATGAATAATCCCGTCTTGGGATTGAATCTTATGGTTAAAACTGAGCAATGTAAATTTGAGGTAGACTCTATCTACACTTGGGGGTCTAAGTTTTATTGAAGAGTACTGGATGTGTTGAGCAATTTATCGTTGTAATGTATTATTGGCTTGAAAAAAACATTGTCAAGCAGTGATGTGATTATTTTGAATCATTTAGCTGCTCTATATCTCAGTTCTTAAATAGGGTTTGCCATCTAATATTGGTCAGATAATTTAAAAACAAATCTGATTGCGCATACAAGAAACTTTGCTTCCCTTCAGAATGTGCATGGTCTATTTTAGTTAAGTTATAACTTATAAGGCATTCTGTAACGTCTCAGTTTATTGTCAAGATATCATTTTTGGATTTGCTTCTTATTCGCTTTAAATAATGGGATGTTGGAGTGAAGTTTTTGCACAAAAGTACAACTATTTGCATGATGGCTTGTCATTTTTAATCAATCAAATTCTTTAAGTTTTGAACAGTAAGTATTAAAATTACTGGGCGAGATAGAATATTTCTTGTGTATGATTTTGCTGTTTGATAATAAAGAGTTCATGTTAACAATCCCTGGTGAATAGTAGTAACAAAAAGATAAATAAAAAGAACAGTGAGTAAAGAGGTAGAGGCCGGGTGATGATTATGAATTGAAGTAGTTGGAACTTGGAAGCTAAACTTCTAACTCAAGTTCTTCACGTTACCTTACCCCTGAATCTTAGGCCATGTTTACTTGTTGGAATTGTATTGAAGTAGAAAGAGAAATGGAAAAAGGATACGTATCATTGTTTAAGGTGATTGGGTAATGGGTCAACCGGTCCAACCGCAGCAACAAATTTATTTTGAAAAAACTAATTAGTCCTATATATTACAAAAATACCCCTAAACAATTTTAAATTAATCCTGAAATTTTTTATTTATTTAAAAATACTCAAAATTCCTAAAGCTTTGACATATTTCAAAAACACCCTTAGAAAATTCAGTGAGTCCTATAAATTTGAAATATATAAACATCTCTCCTAAAACCTGAACTAGACTGGAGAGGTTGTCGGGTCCCAGTCGAACCAATCTGACCGGCCGGTCCAGTCAGGGTTTTGAAATAGTGATACATATTCGGTTAATGAGTTAAGGATGAAACTCATTATAATTCCATTGTTTACTACTTTACTTATAAGATGAAATATTGAGGGAATGGAATCAAATGTGTGGTATGTGGACAAAAATACTCTCACCATTAAACATTCCATACACATTAAAAATTATTATATTATTAAAAAAATTAATTATATAAATAATAGTAAAAAATTAATTATGTAAATGATAATAAAATATTTGATACTATATATATTTACTTTAATAATAGTTATTCTAAATGAAAAATCAAAATTTAATGGCCGGTCAACACCAGTCAATGGAAGGTCAACGCGGATCAACGACACTCAACAACAAGTCAATGCGGTCAACGGTACTCAACGATCGGTCAACAATAATCAACTCCAATAAACAGTTCAACAAATGTCAATATTTACAAAATCCTATTTTAAAAATCACTAAATTATAAAATAATAAACATTGAAATAAAAATCTTTAAAAGAAAAATTAAAATATTTAAATTCAAAATAGGGTCAAAAGAGTAAATTTCTTGGATTTCCTACCTCAAGAATTAGAATTCCTTACAAAATATTGTGGAATGCTTTTATGGAATTGATTATCCATGAGATTCCAATTCTTTATTCAATTCTAATAAGTAAAGAAGGGAATTAGGAATCCTATTTTCATCCTCCAATTAATTCTTAGAAGTAAATATGGCCCTATGAAAACTCTTACATTATTTACCTTTAGCCGTTAAATTTCTAACTTATCCCATCAAAAAAAGTAACCAAATTCTTAAACGAATTAGTTTGATTGGAATTATTTTTAAAGTCATTAATATTTTAGAGTTTTTTTTTTAAGCTGTATGATTGCATGTCCAAATTACTTCAAGGATTTTAAATAAATTATTTTATGGTTTATTTGAGTTTCTTCCGTAAATTCTTTATGAACTTATTTAAAGTGTTGGAATTTAAAAAATATCCCTATACTACCTAATAAATTTAACCTTGTTCTTTGTAAGTAAACTTAAAAATTCTTATACATTTTCCTAACTAATTTTTAGTAGGGAAGTGATATTATTTGACCCTGTTTTAGGGTGAGAATTAAGAATTAGCCACTTTGAAAAAGTATCTCACAAAATAGTAATTTCTCATTCAACACATTTTTTGAAAGACAAAAATGCCCCCCATTCACATTTCTTTAACTTCTCCAAAACCCATCCAGCCCATTCTCCCCCAACCAAATCATTACATTTTTCAATTTCATAGAGGTGATGTTGTGTGATTTTATCAAGATCTTGGCCAAAAAAAAAAAAAAAAAAACCATTATATTTTGTTAGAGTCAAATATATGTGTAAGAAACATGTTAACTATAGAATCTTTTATCTAGATGGGTGGCTAATGTTGCTTGCTTAGGTTAATTTTTAACTAAGGATGTTTAAAATCGAATGATTTTTGAAGCTTTTGACGAAATCTAGGATTGCTTATCGGAGGGTATCAATCACTTTTTCAGCCCAAGATTGAAGACGACAAAAGGTGTCGTATATGCCTTTGTGAAAATTACAGATATCCCTTTATAGGTCGTGTCGGATGTCCGATACTCCTATCAGAGGGTATCAAAATATCCCTTTGTGAAAATTACAACTACCCCTTATAGGTGCTATCAGTTATGACACCCCTTACAGGTTTTATTGATACTCGACACCCTTGATAGGAGAGTATCAAACACTTTCCGTTGTCTTCAACCTTGGGCTAAAAAAAGTGATCAATATCACCGATAAACCCCAATACCCTCTGATAGACCGTCTTAGATTTTGTCTAAAACATCAAAATACTTCGATCTTCAACATCCCCATTTAAAAATTAAACCAAACAATCAACATTAATCACCCATCTATACAAAATATTCTTGGATTTTGTAGAGATTGTAGTTATGGAGAATGAGCTTTGATCAAGGTTTTAAGCAATTATGAATGAGGCATTTTTGTCTTTCAAAGTTAAATGATAAATTACTATTTTGTGATATACTTTCTAAAATGACTAGTTCTCAATTCTTATGGGCCAAATAATATAGCCCCTGTTTGTTACACTATTTTGGATCATTATTCTGTTATCCTATTTGGATTAAAAAATAAGATGTATTGTTTACTTATTGGGTCAATCCAGTATGAAAATTAATCCAATTGAAATAAGATTTTTTATCTAAAAATGAAAAGAGCATGAGACTTGTTTTCAGATTATCCAACTTTATGCAATTGAAAACATTTTTCTTTCTCTCATTTCAATTTGAAAATTAATCCACCCAAGACCACCACTACCTGCCTGCCACCGTCGGCCGATCTAGCTGTTGATGACGACCAGATTTTGGCCGTTAACATCATGGTTGAAAATGGCCATATTGGCGCATGATCGACCAAATCCAACCGATAGTGTGTTGTTCCGAAAACTACCAGCTGCTGTCCAGCAATGGTGGTCGGCGGTCCTTTTGGGTGGTTGGGGAATTTTAGTTAATTTTTAAACTTTTATTGTAGGGGTGTTTAGCTAAATTAACTAATGTAGGAGGTTAAAAAATAATATAAATATTTTTAAAAAATATATCAAATAATTATTCTGTCTTAAAAACCTTTTAAAAAAAATATACTAAGCAACTATTTAGCATTTTATCAAACTTTAATATAATTTTCTGATATTTTATCAAACACATTTTTAAATTCAAATCCAATTCTATATGATTCAACTAAACTCAACTTAAAATACTTTTTTAGCATAACTTTTTAAAAAAAGGATAACCAACAGGCCCATAATTTCCCGTTTTGACAAGTTTTTCTTTTGTAAGATGTACACGAATAAATCCTATCAACTTATTCTAAATAAAAATAAGATTGAAAAAAAAATAAAATAAAATAAAAAAAGCTGATGAGTAGTGTTTTAGGCCGTTGAAAGAGGGTTTTAAACTCACACCTTTACTCATTTGTATAACTATTATACCATTTGCCTCATGTCATGTTTTTATTAAAAAATTGTAGTACCTTCCTTGTCTCTAGAGATGGAAAGCTTCGTTTTTTCTCTGCTTCCACTGTTGTGGCTATGGCAGAAACCCTCTGTCAGCCTCAATTTCATGAAGAAACCTCCCTAAATCAACATACCCAGGTACAGAAACTATCACACGGTCAGTTTTCGCTCTCTTTAGACTCCAAATTTTATATTTCTTCACTAATTAGCTGCAAAAACATCTTTCAAATTAGACTAGTTCATGCCCAAGTCGCCGTTAATGGTGTTCTCCACAACCCCATTGTTGCAAACAAACTACTTTATATATATGCTCAACATAAAGCTATAACCAATGCGTATGCATTGTTTAATTGGATGAGAGTTAGAGACTCGTTCTCTTGGAGTGTAATGGTTGGTGGATTTGCTAAAGTTGGTGACTTTATTAACTGTTTTGGAACTTTTAGGGAGTTTATTAGATGTGGCATGCAATTAGATAACTATACTTTGCCTTCTGTAATAAGGAGTTGCAGAGAAAGGAAGGATCTTGTGATGGGTAGATTGATTCATGACATTGTTTTGAAATCTGGGTTGAGTGTAGATCACTTTGTGTGTGCTGCTCTTGTTGATATGTATGCAAAATGTGGAGCTATTGATGATGCTAGGGAGCTGTTTGATAAAATGTCGAACAGGGACCTCGTGACTTGGACTGTGATGATTGGTGCATGTGGGGAGTGTGGAAACGCTAATGAATCGTTGGTTTTGTTTGATAGGATGAGAGAGGAGGGTATTGTGCCGGATAAGGTAGCTATGGTGAGTGTTGTTCACGCTTGTGTGAAATTGGGGGCTATGAGTAAGGCTAGACTTGTGCATGAATTTATAAATCGGAATAATTTTCCTTTGGATGTGATTTTGGGGACAGCGTTGGTTGATATGTATGCCAAGTGTGGTAGTGTTGATTCTGCAAGGGAAATCTTTGATAGGATGCGACGAAAGAATGTAATTACATGGAGTGCAATGATTGCAGCTTATGGGTATCATGGCCAGGGAAGAAAAGCTCTTGATTTATTTCCTATGATGTTGAGTAGTGGGATATTACCGAACAAGATCACCTTTGTATCACTGTTATATGCTTGTAGTCACACAGGTTTGACTGAAGAGGGCCTTCGGCTTTTTTCTTTGATGTCAGATGATTATGGTTTTGAGCCAGATGTGAAACACTATACTTGTATGGTTGATCTCTTGGGGCGTGCTGGAAGACTTAATGAGGCCTTAAAATTGATTGAAAGTATGAAAGTTGAAAAAGATGAGGGACTGTGGTGTGCTTTGCTTGGAGCATGTAGAATTCATAAGAATTTAGACATGGCGGAAATGGCTGCAAAATCCTTACTTGAACTACAACCACGGAATCCAGGGCATTATGTTCTGCTTGCCAATATTTATGCAAATGCAGGTAGGTGGCAAGATATGGCAAAGACAAGGGATTTGATGACCAAGAGGAAATTAAAGAAAATTCCTGCTTGGACTTGGATTGAAGTGGATAATAAAATTTATCAGTTTACTGTCAGTGCTAGGACTCATCCTCGGTCAGAGGAGATTTATGTGATGTTAAAGACCTTGAGTAAGAAGTTGGAGTTGGCTGGTTATGTACCTGATACAAACTTTGTGTTGCATGATGTTGCTGAGGAAGACAAGCTTGGAATTTTGCATACACATAGTGAGAAGTTAGCAATTTCATTTGGTCTTATTGCCACACCTGAAGGAACTCCGATCAGGATTATGAAGAATCTGAGGGTTTGTGGTGACTGTCACACATTTACTAAGTTTGTATCAGCTGTAACAGAGAGGGTGATTATTGTTCGAGATGCAAACCGGTTTCACCACTTTGAAGGAGGGGCCTGTTCATGTGGGGATTATTGGTAACCAGCTCAATTAGCACTGGTGAGGTCAGTTTTTCTTCTCTCTATAATAAGAAATCATTTTGGAAATTTATAAATTTTTTGACATTTTAAATCTCTAGGCAGCATAATAACACGTTAGGGCAGATACTAATCACTCCTTCCACAATAGATGTTCGTAGAAGATACATGATGACCTGCGTTGCTCCTTTCATGATCTAATACCCATTTTACATTTTATCTAAGTGTTGTTTGAGTAGATACTCCGTCAGAGACTTTAGTTTCTAGGCTTATTGATCAATGGAAAGAGTGATCTACTTTTCAGCAAGCAAGTGCTTAAATTTTTTATTCTCTATATGTGGTGGCCTTTTCTTCTAAAGACACGTAAGTATGGAAAATAATAAATTGCCTCAATTTTGTATCTTAATTAATTCTTCGGTTTTTGAAATCAATTTAATAGAGATAAAGCGAGGTTAATTCAAATCAACATTGTGTCAATAATCTGATTGATTGCCTCTTTAGATAAATGCTAAATTATTAGATTATCTGTTAATAGGTATTTTGTATATTTATTGATTGTCACTGTTTTTACAGGGAGTCTTATATTTTTAGATGGAACTTTACTAATTGCACCTGGATGTGCATGTATTCTTTCTATGAGGATTAAGGAAAACTTAAAACACTGATTCTCTGGTTTAGCCTGTGCAAATGCATCTAAATATTACATTGGAGGTTGTTCTATTGTTAAGACCAACTTTATACACTCAGAAATCTGACAAAAAAACTTTTCTTTTTGTTTTCATTGTTTGGGACCTCTGCCAATTTTACAGCTAGGCTTGTGCATTAAATTTACTTAAATATGCTTGTATAACTTCAATAATTGCTATGGTGTTGATGTGGCAGCCATTCTGGTAATTTGGTTCCAATGGTTGCCTTCTCCATTGCCCAAATGGCATCGACCAGTGACGGAGACGTCATGGTTGACTTGGTATTCTCTCCAGATTTTACCACTGCTCATGCCAGTTCATTTTTACCCAAGTTGCCATGTGTGTCTTGCTCGGGCTCAAAAAACCTAATACTCTCAGGATCATGAAAGTCAGCGAGGTTGAATTTCCAGGCTTGAGAGAGCAGACTGTTCTTATGCCGTGCTGCAACGTACTTCTAGTTCTGTCAGTCCTGTTCACAGCCATCCCCACCCTGCTGAGCACCTTTTTTTTTTTTTCCCCTTCCAGGAGCCTTTGAAGTTGCGGTCTTTGTGGTCTCAGGTAAGACCCCTCATATTTAGACACTTCCAATGGGAGATATGTTTATCTTCTCTAAAGGGCTTGTTCAGTCACAATACAACAACGGGCAGGATGCTGCTTATCCTCTTGCTGCCTTTTCTAGTGCAAAGGCAGGGACAGTCTCTCGGTTGGTTTTTTTGCCATCAGAAGTAAAAATTATATGCTGGCAAAGTCTTTTGACATGATGTCTCCACTTTACAAAAGAAGTTATTATATCTGAGGCATATTGAAGAATCATCAGATTCACCAACAATTTGCAATTCATAGTTTTTCATTTTTAACTTGTCTACTTCTTGAAGTATGTTTTAAATGGGAATTTGAGCTCTATATATATTTCTTGGGTTTGATGAGGAGGTTGACTGATTCTTTGGCAACAACTAGCAAGAGGTCTTGTAAATAAGGGAAGCAGACCCTTTATGGGTATCTAGTTAGTTCTGATTTTTTATTAAATGGCTCCCATTTTGTATGTATGGTTTGACTCAATAATTTGTCAAGCCATAAGGTACAAAAAGAGAGCCTCATTTTGATTTTAAGAAGAAACAATATATTTTACCTTCAATTTTGCAGTTTTTATTTGTTATTATAAGCCAATTTTAATATGATTTTGATGCTCGCAGATGATTGTATGAATATATTAGAACTGGACTTGTATGTTTCAAAAGATACATATAGTTTCAAGTTCTATGAAATCAGATATCCCTTTTGAGGTTTTCATTTCAAAACAAAAGAAAAGCTAAATGTTTGTCTAGATTCCTAGTTTCATGTAATATGATTGTATGTATACATCACTCTGCTGCTTTCTCCAGAGTTTTAATAGATGACTTAATTTGAAGATCAAGCTGTGGACTTTGACTTCAATATACATCTTTTCATAACAGGAAAATCCTTTAAGTAGGATGAATTTTCATTTTAAGTTTCAAAAATGAGAATTCATTTCTTTGTAATTGAGAAAATTGCATACAGCTGTATTGTGCCAAAGTTTCTGATATTTCAATTAGCTCAATGGAAAATCTTGTATGTGTATTGGGACAAAGTGTTGCTTGTAAATGCTTGCATTCTCAGTTATACCATCTTCTTTTTCTTTCTTTAATCATATGTTGTTTGTATAAACAGAAAATCTAGTAGAAAGATCTATTTGGAGATTTTGAGTATGAAGATCAAGTTCCATATTTTTTATATTGAAATGCTTCCTGGAAGTTCATGGAATTTGGTTTTATCTGCATGAATGTGATGAGGTTGAAAATCGCTTTAGTAGGTAAAATATTGTTCTTATTGCTGCTTTCTGCACTACTCATGGAAAATTCTGAAAGTATGAAATAGTAAAGCTGAACAAAATTAAAATATATGGCAGAAAGCTCTTCAATGCAGGATAGAAATTTTTAACAATGTCAATATCAAAGCAAGCTTCCTTTGCCTTCAATTTCTCTACCTTTTCAGGATTTGAAACCATTAGCAGTTCATTGTGATGAGTAGTCTGGTGAGATTTCTTAACCAAAATTTCTCTCCCATCAATGCTTTTATAGTTCATCAAAGTACCAGCCTGAGGAAGAAAAACACCAAAAATAAAGAAGTACCAGTCTCAAGACCATGTATCTGCATCAAATTTCTAAGTAATCAATATGTATATATTTGCATATGTAATCCAAAACCAGATCATCCGAGTCTGAAAAAATTACATTTCATTAGGTTTGAAACAATAAGACCATGTTAATTGATTGCAAGAATCATTCTTCACATGTACTCTCAGTGACAATTCATTAGCTCTTAGTTTACAACCCTTGTGCGCAATTTCCACCGAACAATACAGAGGTGGGGCTGGACCAAGTTGCTCCTGATTGGCACAAGTTTGCAGAAGGCTTCTTTATTAACATCTTCTGACACATGATTGTATCCTGGAAATCCAGGAAAGTATAGTCTGAGTACTCGAGTCTGTCGCATTCTGTCATCTTTGAAAACCCGAATTTCGTAATCCATGTATTTAGCACACTAGGAGCTGAAGGCAGTATCAGTTTCACCACTCCTATTTCAACGAGCTGCCTTTCAAGCTCACCCATCAGACTACGACACATTCCTTGTCCGCGATACTTGAACCTAGTAGCAACTAATGGTATCTCAGCAACCTCATCAAACACTCTAACAGTTGCTGCAGAACCTATTTCCCCCTTCCTACCCACAACCGCTGTGTAGAATCCTTTAAAATTCTTATGCTTCATTTCAGATTTGCTATTTAAGATAACATCTTCGGCAAGATCTTTTCCCGTCAAAGGATCCACAGCTTGCTCAAAACTTTCATGCATAACATCAATTGCATCATTTAGTATCCTCTGGTTCTCTTCTAAGCCCTTATTATACTTCAATAATCTCCAGGTTAAATTATCCACACCTAGAGATATGGGCATTCTTGAAAGCTTATGGAGGCAAGTGAAAGTATGTTCACACCTATCACTACAAAACCATTTATCATGAGCATAATTTTTCACCTTAACTTCCCCTCTTCTCCTCAGGCAACCCATATGAAATTTATGCTCGCACTGATCACAAGTGTGAAGAATTTCATCATCCAGAGAATTTTTCATTGTTTTCTCAAACTTTGCAACACCACATATCACACAACGACAAGATGTGCAGAACCAATCTCCAGTTGGAACATCCTTCAAGCCGAGGCAGCTCTTGTGGTATGTTGAACGACATGAACCACATATGATTAATTCACCTTCATTGTGGCAAACACAACACACATCATAACTCACATCTTCATGCTTATTTTCCATCTGATCACAAAACTTCTCTTCACCATTTTTCGATTTGTTATTGCACAACAATTCCTTTTGACAGTCCAATAGAGACCTCTCATCTTCAAGAAAAATATTAGCAGCCGGCCTACGCTTCTTGCTACCCACATGAGCTTCAAAATCACTGATTGTAAACGCCTTATTGCAACATTTACACTTGATTCCTGTACTAGTTATCCACCCTTCACCCAAATTCCCACTATAACAGACAAATGCCCCTGGCGTTAACAGTTTCTTTTCTATCAACCGAGACAATAAAACTCTAAGATTACACCTTGAAGTTCCCGGAATCACTTGCACACGGGTTGGCTTCTGGCACTTTTGAAGTTTTCTTAATTTCTTCAATGTTTTCAACGTTTTTCCTCTTTTGGGTGCCTCTGGATTTTTTGACTTCTCCATCCTCCTCTTCTTTCTTGACTGTAAACCATCAGAAGATTCTGGACAAGAATCTTTAAGAACTCCTTCATTCATGCAAGCTTTGCAGGCTGTCCTGAGTGTGTAATAAACTTTTCCCTGTGGCGAAGTGTGACGCAATTCTTTCTTCCCTCCCTTATCTGCGTACCACAAATTCCATCTCATAGCCAAGAGATTGTTCTTGGCTTCATCACTACTCTTGTTGTTCTTGTTTTTCCTCCCGCCGGGGCCGCCATGGAGATACCACTGCAACACCGCTTCTGCCCCTGAAGAAGAAATAGGGCATCCTTGATTACCCATTAAATCTTCAGAATATTTGACACCAAACGCCATGAAAGCAGAGAGCGAAATAATGATAGTTGCGGCTTTGAATTTATATTTTGTGATTTGTGAAACAACTCCTTGTGGAATGAGGAGTAGAGTCTGCTTGCAACGTAAGTAATGTTACCGCCAATCTGTTTTTTTTTTTTATTAAAGAAGAAAATAATATATATATATATTAACTATCATACAATTGTATTACTACTGTATTTTGTCAGCAACAACCCTTTTATTTATTAATATTAAACCTTTTTTTTCCTTCCCAGAAAAAAAAGAAAAAGAAAATCGATTGACTCACTAATTTAAAAGTCTAATTTCTATAAAATGCTTTAGTTTCTCAGCAATTTATATTAACTCACCAAAAGTGGTACAATGATTGGAAATCTGATTTCTATTCAAATAATTTCATTGCTCAAGAATTTATTCATACATTATATATATTAATAATAATTATTTGTCAAAAATAATTTTATTTTATTATTATTATTTTTTTTTAAACTGAAGAAGAACGTTTGATACGGGTCTTGTTAAGTAAAAAGTCCCAAGTCCAAGATACTATGGGGGCGTTTGGTTCAGAGAATATTAAATTATTGGGAATATTGGATTACTGGAAAGTTAAATTACCATGAAGATTACTAGGAATCTTTAGGAAAATGTGTTTGGTTAATTGGTGGGTATATTATATTAATATGTTTGGTTGAGAGGAATAAATTGGTGGGTACGTTATTTAAATTACTAAATTGTCATCTAATTAAATATTATTATTATATTATTTTTTAATATTAATTATTATAACCCCCTGTATTTAAAAACTTGGCAAAAACAACTCCACAATAAAAGTTTAAAAAATCAACAAAACGCCCCCACCAACCCAGCCACTGTTGGTTGCCAGCAACCATCGTAGGCCGTCGGCAACCTAACGGTGCACGGAAGGCAGGAAATGGCCTCCGTGCTCCATATGGCCATTTCTGGTGACAGATTTGGTCGGAAATGGCCAGATGTGACAGATCTAGCTAGCAACGGGTGGATCGATGCTAGCAGTCAATGGCTAGATCGATGGCCGTTGACGGCCACAAACGTGGCTGTTAACGGCCAGATCTGGCACGATCTAGCCATTTTCGGCCAGATTGGCGCATGACGACCATTTTCGGCCTTCCGTGTGCCGTTCCGGCAACGGCGACAGCTGGCCGCAGTGGTGATTGCCAGCGGCAGGTGGGTGGGGGTGGTGGTTTGGGTGGGCTACAATTTTTTTGAATTCAAAGGTAATTTTGTCCAAAAAGTAAATTAATTGGGGTGAAATAGTAAAAACCATATTCATGTAAATAAATTTAAAAATAAGGGCATTATTGTCCTAAAATTTTATTAATAAGAGATAGAATTGTAACAAAAAAAGATAACTCTAGCAATCTTAGAATACCTAAAAAAATGGAGGTAATCAGATTACCTTCAATATTACCAATAGTAACTACTATTGATATTTGAAGATTACTGGTATCTTATATTACTTGACAACCAAACATGATAATCAAATAATATAAGATGACGTAGCCCCAATAATCCCACATAACCCCCTACCAAGCCCCCCCTATGTAAATTTAAAGATAAACAGGGTTACTTTTGACATTTCGCATTTAATGAATCTCTCGCACGCTCACGGCTAACCTCAATTTTCCCGGGAAAATAAAATTTAAAATTCAACGCCTGGGTTTTAAGGGTTTCCAAAAATGTCTCAGACGGAAAATTGATGCCGAATCTTGACCAACAAAACACCTAACGCTAAATCTAAGTGAACTCAGCCAATCGATCCTATTATCGAAGAGATTTTGATCAAGGACAAGGCTGCTCACGTCACCTTCTACGAGTTCAACATCAGGAGCAATCAATGAGTTCGTTTTACTGTATTTCAACCTAATTTTATTCTTTTATATTGTCAATTCTTCAGTTTTTTTATTTATTTTTGTGTTTTTGATCATTGAAGAGTCGCAAGGAGGTTGAAGGATCTCTTTCTGTCGTTAAAACGGTAATTTTGTTACGATTTAAGCTTTTTTTTTTTTTCTTTTTAAAGAATTCTAAAATTTTTATAAATTTTTTTAATGTTGTGATTTTGGAATACTCAACCGCGGTTCCTATTTATTGTGATGAATCAACAAAATATAGGTCTGGAATTTTATTAAGACTAGAGGTTATTTTTGTTGGTATGGAGTAATTAATGTTTGTGTTAAGGTTGAGAAATTTATAATTTTAAATAATGTATTCTGATGGTGGATAGGAGTCCTAGTGTAAGAAGAGATGATTATGGAATGAATGCATTTAGTGATTGGATTCAGTGCATGTTATTGTTTTAATTTGCTTGTGTGTGTGGGTTAGGAATTTTTCATTTTCGAAGTAGCTCACCATTTTTATTATTTGTTTGGTAGTTAATTGGCTGATGTTAGTGAATCATATGGTTTAGGCAGGTTGGTTATCAAATCAAGTCTCAAGAGGTAGCTCAAGCTTGATTGCAAATGAACAAATTTTACGCAACGTAGCCTGTAAGGGATAATTCTTCAACAGAGGAGACAAAAGCAAAGTCTTATTCTCCAAATTTGAGTACGTCAGATTAATGATTTAGGTGATTGCCAAAGCAAATGACAGAATTAAGGAGAAAAAATTATATAAATGAGAATCTATTTAGAAAAATGTGACAAAGTCTTATTTTCAGATTGAGCTTGATGTTATGCTGGCAATTCATATTACTGACCAGGTTAATTAACCAATAATTTGCTATTTGAGAACTTTCTATGGCAAGGTAGACAAAGAAAATGTTGAGAACTTTAAGAAAACTTGATCTAAATTAGGATATTCAGGATAGGGTATAATGTTTTTCCTTACAAACTCAAATAATTGTAATACATGTGCTTTTGATTTGCTGGTATTGAGTTTTGTACTTTTATTGTTCTTTTACAAACATATGTTACTTAATGTTGGTGCAATAATGCCACCAAATAGTTCTTTAAGCGCCACCACTGTTCAATGTCAAAATATGTTTATATGGCAGCTGGAGTTGAAAGTAGGCTTAGGGGCACCTCATATGCAGATTTCGGCGCAGCATGCGCTGCTACTCAATTGAGGCTATTCTACCAGTTGTTGATTTCAAATCTGATGTGAACAATTTGTTTGGTGATGAACTTCAGCTTGCTTATGCTTGCACTTTCCTCGAAAAGTAATGGGGTCTTGGAGCTCTTGTTACATTGTTATCGGGTGGCATGGGTTTTGTGGTATTTAGTCCTCTCTTTGTTTTGGAGTTACCTGGGTGATGTTGAAAAGCAGAAGTTGATTTATGAAATGCCGGATGATTGGATCTGATCACTTTATGGTTAAGAATCGCAAGACCTTTGACAGTGTTTAGCTTCTAATTCAATGGTTGAAGCTACTCAAAGATCTTGCTTCTTCTCTTTTTGTGTTATCCTTGTAGCAGTCAAAGTGGTGGTTGTGGTTGAGGTTCTCATTCAAAACTTCAGTTTCAGATAGCTTTTGATTTTCTTTATTAAATTTAGTTCCATTTCTTACACGCTTATTGAGCAACAGATTGGACTCCTATACTTTTAATGTAATTTTTATTCGTGAAATTAATTCATCTAAATGTAACTTGTTTTTTGAATGATAATGCTTAAAGATGGCTAAATTATTGCAATGGATAATGCTATTCATATTTTACTGCTATTGTTACGCTCAGATCCTTATGTACTGCTTTCATAGCCAAGAAAAAAAAACCTGAAGAGAAGAAGCTGATTATGTCTTTGCCACTTTCTTTCATTATTTTTCAGATTTTCATTTTATGAATTGAAATAATTTATTGATGTACATACATAATCCTGGATAGGGTACTTGGATTGCGCTCGATGTTCTGAAAGTGGAGTGTGCTTGCTTAAGCATTGATCCTATCTCAGTATCGGTGCCTTATCAGCCTTTGCGAGTGCCGCCAGTCAACAATGTACTAACTGCTCTGTTGCTGGAAAGGTAATTGATCAGATAAAGATTACAATATCACGTCAGATTGTGTAGTTGTGGTCCTGTGTTTTCCCAAACTTCTCCCTCGAGTTTTTACAGTTGGATGAGCAAAAACCAATTAAACACGTTTAGTTTCAATTTATATATAAATAGTAACGAAATTATGATGATTCTAATGAATAGTGAAAATTCTTTTGTCCTTTTTAATGAAATTAAATTATACGTTCTCTTAAAGAAAGATTTATAGTGGATGAATTGGCCTATTTTCAATTGGCTTGGCATTAGGATTGAAAAAAAGGCTATCTGAAGCATAGTCCATTTTTCATCTTAAAGATCAACTATTTGAAACAACATAAGAATCTGCTTACTCCGAAAAAAGTTTCAATTTGAGGAGGACTAAATGACCTCCAATATTTGATATGGACAATTTCATATTCAACTAGCATGTAGTTGCCTCCTTGTAGTTGTTATTGCTGGCCACAGGCTTTAGCCTAGAAGATAATCACTTTTACTGATTCATTTGCTTAATAGCTTAAGTCATGCGCCATGAACTTGTAGCCAGTTGATGCAGGTGTATGTGTGGCACGTTATCAATTTGATTTATCGCCGTGCTTCTGTCTGTCTTTCTCATATCGTTCTCTAGAAAAAATTTAATCAACTTCATTGTTCAAGTACATTTGCTAATCGTATTCCATGCTTTATTCAGGTGATGTGCTCGAAATGCTTTTGTACGGTATGATGACGGCAAGCATGACCCCCGCATAGATTCATTTGACTAAAGAAAATCGACAGCTCTCAGTCATTGCAATGTTAATATGTTTGTAGTCAATGTATCTGAAGAACATAGTTTGATCCAACAACAAACCTTTTTAGGAATATAATTTTTTATTCCTGTTCAATAAGGCCCAGAAGAAACTCCCATTCTATCTTTCCTAGGCATCTCACCACCTTCTTCTTATTATTGAGAACTGGTTGGCATTCAGCCCTTACCCGGGCATGTAGGTGGGATTTCTGATAAAACT